GCGTCATTGATTGATCATGTCCTGTTGACGGCTGTACCAAATACAAAATACAGAATAGAGTATATAGCGCGCACGCACATGCAAACTACAAAACACGCACACAAACAAAGATTTCAGTGATCATCCGTCGTTTTTATTTCCAGAGATCCCTTGCTTCACCTTCACACACATGTATATCTGGCGCGAAGACCCATCCCTCTGCTACAAGTTACGCTTGCGGAAGGAGTCCTATAGGAATCATATTTGATAATCAGAGGCCATGATATGTGGCCTCTGATTACGAGCGAGCGAGCGAGCGCAGCGAGCGAAGCGAGTCTTTTCAATATAACGGAAAAATCTCAGTATGAGCGGCCCGGCCCGGCCCGGCCTATAACGTTTTTGAGAGGCTTATATCTCAACAACCGCTGGACCGATTGGCCTGCGGTCTTTTTTGCTGGGTAGCCCCATCCCTTCTACCCCGTAATTGACTACTTTTGATACATCTCAGTGACCGTCGTGGCACGTGCCACGTGAAAAGTCAAGGGTGTTCAAGCAGTTTTGCAAAAGTAATGATTTTGAGAGGCCCATATCTCAGCAGCGGCTTGAGCGATTGTCTTGCGGTAATTTTTATAGGGTAGCTGCATCCCTTCTACCAAAGGTCGGACACTCTTGATCTATGTGAGTGACCCCCACTGCACGTGCAAAATACCACAATAAGAGGTGTCAAATTTGTTCCCATTTTAATAACTCGGTAATTACTGGGGCGATTTCGCTGAAACTTGGCATACAGGTAGGCACCCACCAGGCAATGCATTCCCATGTGTTGCGGTTAAGGTGCTACTGCACGTGCGCACGTGCAGGGGGCGCTTCCAAATCTCGAGAACGGCTGGGCCGATTGCGCTCAAATTTGGTACACGGTTGGAGACCGGTTAGTAGGGTGCCGTGCAAAAGTCAGTTTGGACCCCGTTTGCACGTGCGCACGTGCAGAATGCCGCTTCCAGATCTCAGGAACGGCTGGGCCGTTTGCGTTCAAATTTGGTACACCGCTAGCGACCGGTTTGAAGGGTGCTTTGCGCAAGCCCGTTGGAAGTACCCTCTCGCCCTTCCGCACGTGCAGGGCTCACTATCTCGCTCGCTCGTTCTTCGCCCAAAAGGCGTTTTACTGGTATCTGATATCCGTATGTGAAGCGGTCTTTTGGCAAACAAATCCGGTAGGCGGCTATTTTTCTGTTAATAAAACTGGCCTGAGATGACACAACATACATATAGGCACCAAACTACTAGCTCGGATTTTCAGGTATTCAAGTTTTGAAAATTATCCCACTAAAATCCGAAAAAGCATATCTCGAACAATGCAGACCTATGAATATTTGTTCTTCAAGAAATATACAGATAAAATATAAATCAATATCTATGACAAGCTCAGTCAGATGAACTACTACAAATAGTTTAAGCCTTAGGCCGGTTTCCCACTACGACCGTTCAACATCGTAAATTGCAAGAACGGGAGCAAACGGAGGAGATCGTTGATCTAGAGACTTTTCTAAAAAAGTTGAACACTTCCCTAGACCTGGTATACGGGGCAAGATTGGAAAACATCGTGAGACATCGGCAAACGGCTTGGACAAAGCCAGTTGAGAGGAACGATGATGAAGGAGGGATCGGCAGAATAAGCTATTGCAAAAAAAATGCTCAGAATGTAGGCAGATGCAGAATGTAGGCGTGATAAAAAACTTTTGGTCACAATGTGCAATAGCTATTCACGGGAGGGTACTGAAAGCTTGGTGACGATCGGCGCAGTGGTTCTCGAGATATATCGAAAAAACTAAAGGGCCAAGTTAGGCTAAAGGGCCAACTTTTTTGGCCAAGTTATAGCGAAAAAACGGTTCAAAATTGATGACGTCAAATTTTCAAGCTCAATTTTTAGCAATTCTAGACCTCGTAGTGCAAAACAAAGACCACCATTAGACTCCCCGTGACGAGCTGCATCGAATCAACACCCATTTTATGTAAAATATCAACTTTGAAATTTGACCTTTTTTACCTGACCTTGACCTGACCTCCACCAGAAAGTGACCTAAACCGTACCTGATGGTCTTATAACCAACACCATTGAGCTTGAAATGAAAAACTGGCCATAAAACATGCATCGCACAACCTTAGTAAAGTTGGGTTCATGTGGTGACCCTTGGTGACCTTTGGTGACCTGACCTGTGATCTGACCTGGTGTGACCAGTGACCTCTAATAGCAACATACAATGTAATGTATGTATGTACTAGACAACTGACGCCCTATCGCTGATTTTCGACAAAATGCGTTTTACTCGGTGTTATAGCGCTTTCCCTAGAAGCCCCGTGAACGGTGAAACATTTTATATTTGACCTGACCTGTGACGTCATCGGTGACCCCGAGGTCAATGAAATTTGGTATCCCTCAACAAAGTTGACAGGGCTATCGAATGCCGTTTGAATTTTCCGGATCCGTCCAGTAGTTTCGGAGATACGGGGGAGGGCAAAAAATGCCCCCCCCCCCCCACCGCGCGGAAGGTGGCCGGGAGGCCCACCGCCTGCCGGGTTAAAACTGATAATCATCGGCTTCCTCTCGTCACGGGCAACACGCTAGTTTTTTTTCGCGGAGCTCTAGCTCGATCAGGGGTGAAACGGCAAGGGGGTCCCACGGCCCCCCCACCCCCTTATACGTTCGCCGTTACGTTTGGCCTTATACGCCGCTACGTTTCATGCTCAGTGAGTGTTCTTCTCAGTGACATCAGAACTTTTCTTAATTAAATATTGCAAAGGTATTCATTTGAAACTACGAGTATACCAAGTTTTATGTTCACTTATCAGGTTTCGGAGATACCACACAAAACGTAAAGGGGGGGGGGGGGCAAATCAATGTCCCTTCCCCTCAGCGGCTCGTGGGTTAAACGCAATTTTTGGTACTTATCAGACATCGCACACAAAAACAAAAGGCATCGTTGTGTTCCAGAGCTCCTATTGAATCCGATAGACATCTTTTCAGGGTTTGGTGTTTGTTTAATTTTTCAAATAAACAAACATAAACAAACTGTTCACGAACAAATGTGTACGCGAACAAGTGACGTCATCGGTCAAATTTTGGTAAACAAACGACGAACAGTTCGCGAACGTTCATGAACTGTTCGCGAACACGGTAAAGAGGGGGTAGATGAGACCCCCTCCTTAGCCATTTCGCCCCTAATTGAGATAGAACCTTGCGGAAAAAGCCAGCGTTTGCGTCTTTACGAACCAAAGCGATTGGTATCCGATTTCAAGGTCTTGCACCAACCGGTGACCCCTGAGGTCAGATCAAGTGTCATAAAGTAGGGGTTTGGTTTTTGGTAAATAACTTCGCCACAAATGTGGGTAGAGCCGCGATTGTGGCACCACCGTGCTCGTCGTGGCCAGGCGCGTCGAATGATATACTTTTTGTTTGGATTAGGTCTTTTTAGGATGTTGACCTCAGGTCAAGGTCAGGCCAAAGTCACTCGGGTCACAAAGCTGCATGGGGGATGTCATGCTGCATATCATTCGATGTGGCAGTTCTTTCTAAGTCAAGTGATGGCTCAACCGACTCGCTAGCTCATAAGCGTAGGAACCATGGGTGCAGTGGGTGCAGCTGCACCCACAATAATTCTCCAGTGGGTGCAGACAATGTAGTTATTCTGCACCCACAATAATCTGAACCAAAAACCCCTTTTCTCATCAACACTACTTCCCATGCAGCACGGCAAATTTAGGATATGTTGCCCACTATCCATCTTTCGAAGCATGTGCTACTTTGATGGTCTTCAAAACTTACATTTGTGCTGAAAAAAAGGAAATGGAGCATGTGATTGAACACATACCGATGACTAACTGTCAAAATTTTTAGCCCGATATCTTCGAAAATGGCTAAGTTGGCCGCTTTTACTTTTTGCGGTAGCCAATATTGACAATATTATAACCCTCGCATGTGTGCGGCGTTTTCCAGCTTCTAATGTGTAGGGGAGGGGGGTCGCTTGGACCCCGTGCCGTTCGGCCCCTGATCGAGCTAGAGCTTCGCGGAAAAAACGAGGGTGTTGCCCGTGACGAGAGGAAGCCGATGATACCAATTTTAAGGTCCTGGGTCATTAGGTGACCTTCCAGGTCAGGTCAATGTTCCAAATGTCGGGAAAATCGGGACCTACTAGAACTTCGTAAAATGAAGCTGTTATCGGGTTTTTCGGCCTCGGGGTGTTGATCACGAATATCATGTTAGTTTTGATCACAGATGATGTCTACATGCCAGGTCGGGTCAGGTCAGGTCAGGTCAACCATTAGGCGTCCTACCGGCTATCCATAGTAGGTGTCAACTACCACTGACGGCGTCGTAGCATGTTACGAAGTATCAGTAGCGGCGGAGCACCTTCAATTAAGGGGGGGGGGGGCAATGCCAACTTTTGGTTCCTTTCTTTCCATGCAACGCCCATAGGGCCAATGTTGAAATACCAAAATCAAAGGGGGGCACGGTGCCCCGGTGCCCTCCCCGTTCCGCCGCCTATGACTTTATAAAACTACTTCGTAAATGTTCAAATGGATGCTAAATTCGAAATCAGCCCGAAAACTACCCTAGAAACATGTAAAACTCGAAAAAGTGAACCGAGGTCATCAAAGGTCAATGATCTAACCTGACCTTCAGGTGACCTTCACACCCACCGTAATGCATGGGACGAACATCATTTCACATGTTTGGACGTCTACAATCACAAAAAGACTGGAAACGCGCGGATAATGTGAGCTGACATACGCCAATTAATCGCGATTCCGGCCGAACATGGCCTCGAGAATCAGGTCACAGGTCAAAGATCTTTTGGGTCAGGGCTGGGTTACCAGTCTAATGTCCCGCGCTGAGAGTGGCTGGGTTACCAGTCTAATGTCCCGGGCTGAGAGTGGCTGGGTCACCAGTCTAATGTCCCGCGCCGAGAGTGGCTGGGCAGGGCTGTTGGTCGGGTGGCGGCCCGGCCCGGCGCGGCGCGGCTCACCTGTGCACGCCCTGCTGGTGGCGCTGAACACGAAGCCCGGCTGACACTGTGCGTCACACTCGTAGCCACCGAGCGTGTTTGTGCAGCGCTCCGTCTCCGGCTGGCAGCCGTCTATCTTCTCCTCACACTCGTCCACGTCTGTGACGCCGTGGGGGTCGGGTCAGGGGGAGAGCAGCGGGAAGCGTTCTTCGCCCGCCGACAGTAGGTGACTATACATAGTCTGTTCCATAGCAAGCTTGCGGTCGGAGTTCCTCGGTTCAAAAATTTGCGTCTTTGAATGTAAGAGCTGTATGTACAGTCAGTCTTAAAGGGACCCTCCCACCTTAACATTAGATTTGAGTTGAGATAGCCAAAATGGGGTCCCTGGCTCACAATTACCGGTTTCGGCACTCACAACATCGAGAAATGCCTTAAAACGGAAATATTGAATTTCAAAATTGCAGCATTTTGATTCAGAGGGGCTAATGCAGATATTCAGAGGAATACCCCTCTGAATGTGTGACGTCAGCGCAGATATCTAACGATTTTTAAATGTTTGACTAAAATGTTTTGTAGCACGCGGTGGTATATGCTGCTTTGCGCGCAACAAGTGCCGCACTTTCAGCTGCCAAACTATTGCTTCCAAATAAAGTCGCTAGGAACAGCGGAGATCCCAAAAAGTAAACAAAAGTAAAAGTCTAATATCTTGAAAACCGGTGAATATTTTTCGGTGAAATTTGGTAGATATTCGTTTGCGCTCTTTCTGAACCGAGCGACATCACTTTCATGCCAATTCATAAACTTTTTTGAAGGTGGGAGGGTCCCTTTAAAAGTACCGCGCAAAGTACCGGTGGATCCATCAAGCCTGACCGAGGAAGGGCCTGCTCTAATTTTAGTCACCGAACCAATTGACCTGGGGAATGGACGAGGATTTCAATTGCTTCGGTGGCTCAAATTTAGCAGTTCTTCCAGCTTCCACGGTCGGGCTTGATGGATCCCCCGCACTGATGCGTGGTACTTTTAAAACTGACTGTACAGAAATCATGCACTTCTTTCAGCAGAGCACTTCGGCCGCAAGCTTGACATGGAACAGAGTCAAAGAGATAGCCAAAACGTTTGTTGGTTGATTGCGAGTTGAACCATATAAAGTTTTTACCATAGAAAACCAATAGTTTCTGAGTTATAAGCCGCCAAACATAGGGTTGCAGCGTGACCTCCAGGAACTGCCCGCCCGAGGCTATATCTCGGAAACCGTTGTTCGAAGAAAAAAAAATCCTTGCCACAGCTGGGTTCCCCGCCCATCACAACCCATTAGACCAATTTTAAGCAAAAAATAAAATATGAGGGTGTAAATTTTATTTTATTTTGGTCGATCTATCGTGGAATGCCCCAGTTCTTAAGCGCACGGTGGGATTATAGCTGAATGAACAAGGGGCAAATAATTTCCGGACACCCTGTAGATGAATACATTTAAATACAATATTTAAATATTTAATTAGCTAAGAATAAACCTGGACATAAAAAGATACAGGATTCTTCACGGCTCACTCGTGGGAGGGATGCTAATGCTCGCCAGTGCCTCCGCCGTGCAGAGCTCACCTAGGCAGCTGGCGGCGGACGTGTCGTACTTGAAGCCGGCCGGACAGTCGCGCGGCCCGCGGCGCGCCTGGCACGTGAAGCCGCCCTGCGTGTTCAGACAGAACTGGCGCTCCGGCTGGCAGCTGGACGTGCCCTCCAGACACTCGTCGATGTCTGAAACGACCGGCATGGCTCACGTTGCGCTACCGCCGCGCAGCCAGCAGTGCGCAGTCGGCAGTCGGCACACTTGTCAGCAGTCAGCAGTCAGCAGCCGGCAGGTAGTCAGCAGTCAGCAACCAGCAGTCAACACAATGGTCAGCAGTCAGCAGCCAGCACACCTGTCAGCAGTCATGGCAAGTGCAGACAATTTGAAAACCGATACCAAATCAAAACTGTGGAGAAATATCGAGCTTAAAATATTATATGAATACTGTATGGGGTAGTAAAAATGATTGCCCGATGAGACGTCACTGTAGCCCGAGAGTAAAACCGAAACATGTTTTATTACCAGAGGCATAGCCGAGGGCAATAATGCTTGTTGAGGTCTTCGCCCGAGGGCTACAGTGATGTCACAGAGGGCAATAATTTTTTCTCACTACCCCTACCCCATATAGTATTCATTTTAATACACGGCCCATCTCAACTCGCTCTCGTATATCAAACCGCGAGTAGGAAGAACAAATCCTTTAAACGTCGAGCCGATAGGCGATAGGATGTTTAAAACGCGATAGGACGTTTAAAACATTTTTCTACCTACGAGCGGTTTAACCCGCGCCCGTGGCGGTTTCAGCCAACTTCACCCTAGTGGGGGGGGGGGGGGGCATAGGTTACCACCCACCTCTAATTAAAAAACTAAGAGGGCTAGAAAGACGCGGTAAAAAGCAGTCGATAGCCCTTAATGCGTACGTTTGAGAGTACATCGGTAATTTTTCACCTTAGAGCAAAATTGGGGTCACTGGAGTTCATCAAAGGTCAAAATTTGGCAAATGTCATTATATTTCTCAGAAAACATGCATTTACCTCAGGAACTATGATAGCTAGAAAAACGCATGGAAAAGCAATCGATAGCTTTGGAACTCTTCTTTTGATAAGGTCATATCAAAATTGACCTCAGGTCAACGTTTAGCCTCCAGCGGGCAAAAACTCCAAAAATAGCTGTTTTTACGAAATGTGATTTTCGACAATAACTTTTGACTTAAAAAAAAAACAGAATATTTTTATTACCAGAATCGTGTTCCTCTTGCTGAGGCGCGTCGAATGAACCATAATTTGACCTTGAAAGGTCAACTTGAAAATCTGACCTCAGGTCAAGGTCATGACCTGACCGGAAAAGGCCATGTTGCATATCATTCGATGCGTCTCAACAAGACAAACACAATGAGACCATCCCCAGCGTCCTATCTGTTTCCAATCGAGAGTTATTGGCAAAAATCGGTTTGTAGCCTCAAATGACCTCGGATGACCTTTCTAGAGGCTATCAGCAAAAAAGACACCTTGGTTATCAATGGTGGTCCAAATCATTGTGATTCTGAAATATTTGGACTGTTCCTATGCGTACACACGGATCTAGAGGCATTTTCATTTTCATCCATTGATTTATAATGGTAAGGTCACGCCACTGGCCTGACCTTAGGTCACGCATATAAAAAATCCGAGATATAAATATTATAGGCGCCCATAACATCATGCAATCACCAAGTTTAAAATCTTTCTGGCAAACAGTGCAGGCTGGACATGATTGCAAACTTTTTTAGGCTTGGTCAGTTAACTTGACCTGGTGACCTGACCTGACATGACCTTGGGTCAAAAATCTCACACATTGTCCAAAATTGATGTACAAAAATGTACTCCAAGCGGCGCTACGCGCCGCGATTTTTTATTCACACGCAAAAAACGCGACAGGGTGGTAACATATGCCCCCCCCACTGAGGCGAAGGTTAATAATTCTATCCCGTACCGCCCATATCTTTCGGGCGCTTAAAGGTAAAAAATAAATCTTATGTAAATAGTAGGGCATATTTCAGACTAGACGGAATGTCTACTAGACGTTTTACAGTTTGTTAACCCGGCAGTTGCTGGGGTATTTCGCCACCCGCCGTTTGCTGGGGAGGGGCGTTAAACGCCCCCAGCCGATAACTCGAGAACCAATGGTTGCAGCGAAACGCACGAGGCGGCAAACGAAAGAACGCGACGAGACGCTGCAGATGAGTACTTGAAAGTTGAATTTTAAGGTCACAGATCAGGTCAAGGTCAGTTCAAGCACCTGAAATCGGACTTTCGGTAGCATGGACTTCAGAACCTCGTAATGGGCGCCTCTCGTCATAAACTCTGTCAAAACGGTGCACAATCCTTCATATAAGTGCTACAAGAGTATCAGATCTATATAGGGGTCGGTCAAACATAGGTCAGGGTCAAGGCCAGGTCAATCAGGTAAGAGCATACCCCAGAAAATCAAAACTGGTATTCGCCGTCTATGACACATGGTTTATGGGTATTTTTGGGCGTAGAACACGATGGTGTTATTTATTTTATCATACGAGTACGTTATTGATCGAAAAATATCAATTTAGGAAAAACATGCATCATGATCGTGAAGTGTCACGAGAAATAGCCAAGAATTAGTTCAAGATTTTGGAAAATGTAGAACGTTAATCAAAAATCAAATATGGCCATTTGATTGTACATAAAATTGGCAGTCTAATGGCGTTTACGGCATGTCTGTATGTCTATTCTGTGATTTTATATGATTTTTAGAATATATGCCGTTTTTGGTTGAAAAGTCAGAATTCATGACGTCACTAAAACCTCGATATCTCAAATTTGTTTGGACCGATTTTTTTGAAACGTTGGCAAAATATACTTTAATCAATTCCCTAGAGGTACCCAAAATTTGGCGCGCCTGCGGCGCACCGTTTTTATGCTATGGCCCGGCGAAAAAAGTGGGGGCGTTAAACGCCCCTCCCCAGCAACTCGCGGGTTAACCGTTTAGACGTTTAACAAATCATCTGATAATTTTCTACCTTTGCACATGAAGCAATTGTCAACACTTTTGCAATTGACATCTGATAATTTTCTACCTTTGCACATGAAGCAATTGTCAACACTGTCTATCGTGCGGGATAAGTATCGTTAAATATGTCACCGCTCAGAAGAAAATTGAAAAAGGATTCAAACACGCGCGAATTACTATTGCCAGTGGTTAAGGTGTCACTAACAAAAATATGTATTCCTTCAGATTAAATATGAAGTTGCGGTAAACGGTCAAAATTAACTACACACCTATAGTTCGTTTTTCTTAAGTTTGCCCCTCACTGTAAACGTCTTTTTGAACACAGCACGAGCATTGCTAGCTGAATTACTGAGAAAACTGGTTGGCGCACATTGTATTGTAGATATGAATAATATTTTCAAAATAAGCTTTGAACACCGACGATTTAACGTTATGTTAAGCGCCGTGCAATTTATTTATTAGTTCAGACATAATTCCTGAGAAGTCGTCTATCCCTGTGGGGCTGTAGGTATTGGCAACTACGAGCTACGAGTCTGTGAAAAAGTAAATAAATTTGATCAAATTGATCGTCTGTCAAATCAATGTGCGCCAACCAGTTTTCTAAGTAATTCAGCTAGCAATTCTCGTGCTGTGTTCAAAAAGACGTTTACAGTGAGGGGCAAACTTAAGAAAAACTAACTATAGTTAAGGCACATGTAAATAGCATCCTGTTAAAGTTCAATCGCACGTTAAGCCCACTTTATTCAATTGCTCATGTAGTTCTACGTTCAATTTTGTTCCATATGTATCAAATTTACGTACAACCACACCTGGATTACTGCGACACCGTATTTGACTCCCATCTCACAGTATGGGGTCGCGGCTTGAGAAGGCTCAAAACAGGGCCGCGCGCCACATACATCAACACCACGCCGTATGCCAGCTGCCGGCCTGCTTATATGTAGAGCTAGGCTGGTCAACACTGGGGGTCAGACGCCGCATCCACAGACTCCAGCTTCACCACAGGCTCAAAACTAACGATGTTTTTCCAAATTGCATCAGCGGCATTATTCCAGAGCCAACCACCAGAAACGACTTGTAGTCCTGCGTTCCACCCACAATCACGAGCTTCCTTTACCAAGAGCTCGAACAGCATCTCATGCAAGGTCGCTCATTCCTAAAACCACAAGAATTTGGAACGAGCTACCCATCTCCATGATAAATGAAAACAGCAGCAAGTTATTCAAGAAGAGCCTGGCATGGTACAACCACAGGTCCACAACCAAAGTGACCACCTTTATCGAACTATTGGTTCAAAACTCGGCAACATTTTACGTACCCGAATAAGGCTAAACGCATCAGATCTGAACGAGCATAGAAACAAGTTAGGAAAAACGGAAACTTCCAAATGTCAGTGCGGAGCTACAGCGGAGAGCACTGAGCATTGCATTTTACTAGGTCGTTCAATATGTAAGGTAAAATCACATGTACATATTTCAGTCCACCCTTAGAAAGACACAAACCCAGCATCATACGTTGTTTTGTGTGCCCGCTTACCGACACAAGTCTGCAGTGCTGGCCGGCGTTGTGTACCCGCTTACCGACACAAGTCTGCAGTGCTGGCCGGCGTTGTGTACCCGCTTACCGACACAAGTCTGCAGTGCTGGCCGGCGTTGTGTACCCGCTTACCGACACAAGTCTGCACGCCGGGGCTGAAGACGAAGCCGGAAGGACAGGTCATCCGGCGTGGAACGCACTGGAAGCTGCCGATCGAGTTCTCGCAGGCCATGTCTCCGCACGAGCCAGGGTCCCGACACTCGTCCACATCTGACCGCAGGGGCACGCGCAGGTCTGACAGAGGCGGTTCTGGGGAGCGCCGTCACAGGCCACATGCCGCCACACCACAGAGGGGGACACACGATTTTCCAGCAATAGTTCGAAATCAATAAACTTTTTACCAGCCTCCCACAGCTGATGAGGGAGAAACACTTTTTGGGGCTATGACAAAGGGCTAGGCCCCCCACATGCCGAATAGGTTGTTAAAACATGCAGCAATGTGTAGTACCTACAGGGTGGAAAGAAAAAGGTACCATATTTTATTTGTGAATAACTTGTCTTCAACACCACATAACATACACGGCTCTGCATGACTTCATTTTAAACACAAAACCTGGGAGATTTTACTGATACCATTTTCATATATGTTTGACCCAGGTGCCCGATTACAGCACGTGTTCGAAAACAGCTCTGTTTTTCGCCAGGCAGACGCTGATACGTTTTTCCACTTCACGAACGGCTTAATAGTTTGTCTTTGCTGAGATCTTTCGTATACCTTGCTTGACTGCTTGTTTGATATGCTTCAGCAGGTTTTGAGGGACATTCCGGTACACTTTTCCTTCCAGGCAACCCGCGCAAGAAAAAGTGGGTGCTCTAGCATATTCAGTGACCTTCCTAATCGATTTTGAAGGGTTACGCTCAATAGTAGCCTTGACTCTCAACGTCCTCTGTATTGCCTTTTGATTTTCGTCGACCATTGTGACCCTGGCTCTGGTTTAGAGCTGAGCCTTCCTTCCAAAAAGCCTTACACAGTAGAAGAATTGTTTTTCGCGTGGGCGTGTACCTTCACTGAAAGTAAACTCGATAGCGACGCTGCTTCTCCACTATAGACTTCACAGACAAGTAGACATCTACAAACTTCAACTTTTGACCCCATTACACTCAAAAGTTTTTCCAGCATAATCCCCCATGGTTCCTCTTTCGAATAACATTTAAATTCGCTCGCTTAACCCGCGCACCGACGGGGGGCGGATATCCGCCCCCCCCCCCTGAGGTTTTTCGCGAATAGCGGGAAAACCGCGGCGCGTAGCGCCGCGAAATTTGGTATGACTATAACCTTATCAATTTTACACATGGTGTGCAAGTTTGAACCTCCTACCTTTTAAGGTCAGGTCACCAGGTCACTTTGAATGACCCAACCTCAAGTCACCTTTTTGCAACTTTGTCACCGTGCCAGAGCTACAGTAGATGTCGGAGGCCTTTGAAAGTCGCAGGATATTATTAGGTCATTAGTAGCTACAATTTGTTTATCTCGGAATTTTGATATCGGTGACCTAAGGTCAGGTCAATTTCGCGACCTCCCCATTATAAGTCAATGGGGGAAAAATCAACTCCCTGTTTTTACCACTAAAACGGGTCGGAATGGCCCCATATACCATACATGACTTCATATACGATCAACCTTCACTACCTTGAAATCTGTTTTGCTGTTGGGCAGCTGTGAGGTCATGTGACGTCATCAAAGGTCACCAAAGGTTTTTGGCCAATAACTCCGTACAGGAACAAGATACAGACGCGTGGATGGTCTCATTGTGTTCAGCTCGTCAAGACGCATCGAATGATATACATGATGACCTCGAGGTCACGTGACCTGAGGTCAACCTTTGACCTTGACCTTTCGAGGTCAACATATATATCATTCGATGCGGATTGACGAGAGGATCACGATGATGCCCTTAGTTTGTTCCTATCTTGACTAATTCGAAAGTTATTCGAGAAAAACTCTCTCCATATCTAGCGCCGCCATTTTGACTTTTTCGACCCCTGTGACGTCATCTTTGACCTGACCTGAAAATGACCTTAGTAAAAATTGTAGATCTTGGCCGTGCGTATCCGATGCCGTTTACCGCTTGTCGCTATCTTGCTTCGTTCTTGAGATCTCAGGGGAGGCGGTCATCCGCCCCCCCCCCCCGTCGGTGCGAAGTTGGCGCAGATTAATAAATAATTAATAAGTCGGTGCGCGGGTTAATCAGAATTTGCATCCGTCAGAAGCAAAACAAATGTGGTATCTTTTTATCTTTCCACCCGGTATATTGCATAGGCATAAACATTATACATATAAACTTTTTGGCGGGTTCTTGCATGCTTTATTGACATGGGAAATGTGTCAACGAACTATAGGAACATCCAGGGTATCCGGAAAGTACCGGCGCGCCTTTCAACATTTCTGAACACAAATGCTTTTGGTTAAAGGCACCCTCCCACCTTCCAAAAAGTTTATGAATTGGCATGAAAGTGATGTCGCTCGGTTCAGTAAGAGCGAAAACGAATATCTACCAAATTTCATCGAAAAGTATTCACCGATTTTCAAGATATTAGACTTTTACTTTTGTTTACTTTTTTAGGATCTCCGCGGTTCCTAGGGACTTTATTTGAAAGAGCGGCACTTGTTGCGCGCAAAGCTGCATATACCACCGCGTGCTGCCAAACGTTCTAGTAAAACTGCACGGGCGTAACCACCTAAGCGGACACTGCGGAAAGTCCGCACCATTTTTTACGGGCGCCTTCGTGCCCGTCCTCTCCGTCCTCTTTTCAGTACCTGCTGCGGACGGCGCACCACCCGTGAGAAACGTTTCACAAACGACTCTCTCGCTACCAAGGCGCCCCTTTTTCGCATGGAGACGCCCGTTATAGTTTCATAGGTGTCCCGTCCGGGATTTCCTTGACTGAATCTGCGTGACCCCAGTGTAGCCGATCCTGTGTATTTCCTGTTTAGTTATCGGTCGTTATCTCGGAACGGGGAAGATAAGGCTAGAAACAGATATTATATATTATCGTGATATATCAAGCAGAGACAAAACATACCGAATGAGAACGCTACGTTAGGTTATCGGTTAAAGCTCAAGTTAAAGTTGACCGAGCCGCTCGAATGTATCTTTAGCTTTTTTCTTCTAGAATTTATCACAGCGCGTGATGAAGTTTCTCGCGGCTTATTTAAGCCGCCTCTTCGGGTGCACTATATAACACCTCCCCTCAAGTTGAGCGGTCTCGGCGGTAGGTACGCCTCCTCGGGTCGACCTGTAGCCGTTCTGGAGGCCTCATAGTACGGTTGCTCCGCCGTGGGGGCGCAGGCAGGCGTACGGACGCTTCATCTGCGAACCTTACGCGCGGTCCGTGCGCCACATTAGGGTTATCGTCCACCACCCCCGGTCCCTCCGGTCGCTGAACCGGGGTGTGAGGATGATGCAGCCTCAGGAACCTGCGGTTTCTCCACATGATCCGACCACTTGGCAGTTTAACCAGGTAGTCCCTCCGGCGACCGACGGCGACGACAATAACGGTTCGGGTCCAGAGACACGAAATGGGGTCCTGTACGTCCACATAGTTTCCTGTCTTCAACGCGCAAAACGACCCTGCAGACGCGTCGTACCTCTCTCGGGTCGCTGACCTGAGTTCTTGCGCCGTTTCATCGCACTCAGCTACTGATTTCTGCCACTCTGGGGCGAAAGCACGATAGTGTGCCGGAACTGCGGATCTGAGGGGGTGACCAAACAGGACCTGAGCGGGTGAGCGCCCGTCTGCCCTCGGCGTATTGCGCAGTTCTAGTAGTCCTTTTGCGAACTCATCCGAGTCCGTGTTCCCGTTCTGAGTGGTCTTGAGAATGAGTCTCTTTGCCGACTTGACCGCTGCTTCGGCGTGCCCGTTGGACTGTGGATAGTACGGCGTCGACATCCGGTGATCGATCTGCCATCTCTTCATGAAGTCTCTGGTGATCTTTGCACTGAACTGGGGCCCCCATCCGTGCGCAACACGTTCGGCACTCCAGTCGAAGCGAATATCTTTCGAAGCGTCGTCACTAGATCACGGGCTGTGGCATCACGTGAGAATGTAGCAATGACCGGCCAGCCGGACAGGCGGTCGACATACACCAAGAATGGCTTGCCAGCCGCGGTGAAGAAGTCAGCTGAGACGCTCTCGAACACGCGTTTTGGTGCCGGGTCATCCATCAGAGGTTCTTTCCTCTGGCTGGGGAGATTCTCGCGGCATGGACGGCATGTTCTCACGGTGTTCTCGATGTCATTGTTCAGACTAGGCCAGAAGACTGACTGGCGACCGCGCCGTTTTGTCTTGTCGATGCCTTGATGGCTGGCATGTAGCTCTGCCAGGACGTCTCGACGCAGTGAAGCAGGGATGACCAGCCTCGCGCCCATGAGCAGTACATCTCCGTCTACAGATAGCTGATCACGGTAGGGCCAGTACGGACGGAGCTAAGTCGGTAGGTCCGTCTTCTCGGAGGGAACTCCCTCTTCTACTGCCGCCCGCAGGCTGACATATTCATCATCCAAACTCCCTGCATCTCTGATTCTTGTCAACATCAGATCTGGTGACCTCTCTTGCGACCGCGTCGGGCCGTGCTCGTCAGTGACGTGCGCTACCGCGCCGACGACGACGGCTCTGACGTAGCTGTTGAGGTCCTTTTCTGCCTCTGCATCGTCTGTAGATGGCTCGTCGACTGGAGCACGAGACAGTGCGTCCGGTACGCAGTGTTTGCTACCACTCCTCCACGAGGCTGTGAAGCTGTAGGCCATCAGCGCGTGCCTGAGGCGCTGGAGCCTCGGGTTTTCGATGTCCGCCAGCAGCTTGTTGTTCAGGATTGGGATCAGTGGGCGATGATCCAACACGGCTTCGAATGTGAGGCCAGCCAGATATGTTCTGCACTTACGCACGCTCCACACGAGCGCCAGCATCTCAAGTTCGATGACGCTGTAACGGCTCTCTGTGTCCGTCAGAAATCTTGACCCGCACTGCACGAGCCGCCACCGATCTCCGTGTTTCTGCATCAGCGCGAATCCCAGTCCATGCAGGCGGGATGCGTCGGTCTGAAGTACAGTGGGGAGTGCCGGATCGAAGAACGCGAGTATCGGCGGTGACGTCAGCGCCTTTTTGACGTCATTGAACGCATTCTGGTGAACTTCAGTCCAGGTCCAGACGTTACTCGGCTTTAGGAGGTCGCGCAGTGGTGCGGCTGCTCTCGCGATGTCAGCCGAGAA